GCGACGACCTCCATAGGGCGCAAGCCTGTCAGTTTCGCCTAAGCTCGCAGAGCTAGGCGAAGACCTCCATAGGGAGCAAACCTGTCAGTCTCGCCTAAGCTCGCGGAGCTATGGGACGACCTCCATAGGGCGCAAGCCTGTCAGTCTCGCCTAAGCTCGCGGAGCTAGGCGATGACCTCCATAGGGCGCAAGCCTGTCAGTCTCGCCTAAGCTCGCGGAGCTAGGCGACGACCTCCATAGGGCGCAAGCCTGTCAATCTCGCCTAAGCTCGCGGAGCGGGGCGACGACCTCCGTAGGGCGCAAGCCTGTCAGTCTCGCCTAAGCTCGCGGATCTAGGCGACGACCTTCATAAGGCGCAAGCCTGTCAGTCTCGCCTAAGCTCGCGGAGCTAAGCGACGACCTCCATAGGGCGCAAGCCTGTCAGTTTCGCCTAAGCTCGCAGAGCTAGGCGAAGACCTCCATAGGGAGCAAACCTGTCAGTCTCGCCTAAGCTCGCGGAGCTAGGCGACGGCCTCCATAGGGCGCAAGCCTGTCAGTCTCGCCTAAGCTCGCGGAGCTAAGCGACGACCTCCATAGGGCGCAAGCCTGTCAGTCTCGCCTAAGCTCGCGGAGCTAAGCGACGACCTCCATAGGGTGCAAGCCTGCCAGTCTCGCCTAAGCTCGCGGAGCTAGGCGACGACCTCCATAGGGCGCAAGCCTGTCAGTCTCGCCTAAGCTCGCGGAGCTAAGCGACGGCCTCCATAGGGCGCAAGCCTGTCATTCTCGCCTAAGCTCGCGGAGCTAGGCGATGACCTCCATAGGGCGCAAGCCTTTAAGTCTCGCCTAAGCTCGCGGAGCTAGGCGACGACCGCCATATGGCGCAAGCCTGTCAGTCTCTCCTAAGCTCGCGGAGCGGGGCGACGAACTCTATAGGGCGCAAGCCTGTCAGTCTCGCCTAAGCTCGCGGAGCTAGGCGACGACCTCCATAAGGCGCAAGCCTGTCAGTCTCGCCTATGCTCGCGGAGCTAGGCGACGATCTCTTTAGGGCGAAAGCCTGTTAATTTCGCCTAAGCTCGTGGAACTAGACGACGACCTCTATGGTTGACGAGGTCATCGTGTACAATTGGGAATGTGAGTCTTGAAAGACTTAGGAATAGTTGTGCTAGGTGCAAAAGCCCATGGTCACAATGTTAAGGGTTTTCAAGACTCGGTGAATTAAACTTATCATGAACGAAGAGGCGTGGTTACCTGTATAGCAATAAGTTATATAAGTACGAGTAATTAAAATGTGCAAGCGACACAATGAAAGCAAAATGTTGACGAGTTCACGATTACATGCCCGAATAGAAAAGTTCACGCGAGGTTGAATAAGTTTGTGGTTACATGCCAAAGTAACAAAAGGGATAACCAAAAGAAAGGTTCAACACATCCCGTCCAATAAACAAAACATAGAGTACTAAACAGAAATCACAAGTAAATCTAGGAGGGAAGCCCGATGTCCTCCGGCTCGAGGACCATCTCCCCCTCTAACTCGACGTCGGCCGCAATGGCCTTCGCGGCGGTATCCAAGACCGGCTCCCAACAAGGATGGGTCGCCGGAAGAGACAGGTCACCGTTCAACCCCGCGGGGGTAGGGAGGCAGACCATCATATTAAGCTCCTCCGCCTCATCCACGGAAATAGCGGCCCCTTCGTCTTTCACCTTCACCAGGGTCCGATGGATCCCCTCGTGGAAATA